CTGGCGGCTGCTGCTCGCCCCCAAAAGGCACTTTAGGGGGTCACTCGGCTGCTGGGGGAACCGGCGCTTCTCCGAGTCCGACATCATCGGCCGTTCACTGTCCATCCTCCTGCTTCTGACACCAATGTAATGAATTTGGGTTCGTTGAGGACGAACACAGAGATTCAAACCTGTGGAGTTAAAAACTGCACTTTATTTCTTCTCCGTCGTCACCCGCCAGCAGCACTCCCGCACCCAGACGAGAGAGAAACACAAGCCCGCCAAGAGCGCGGGCCCGAGAGAGAGAGAGAGAAAGAGAGAGAGAGAGAGACAGAAAGAGAGACAGAGAGAGAGACAGAGAGAAAGACAGAGGGAACTATTTACATGGAAAACGGGCGATCTCCCCAGACTGTACGCCCGTTTCACTGTTACCTGGATACCTCTTGGGGGACATCCTCTATATCCTCTTGGGGGGATATCCTCTTGGGGGATATTCTAACAACAAGTGATTATAAGACAATCTGTCAAAGTGCAATGAAATACAATATGCTGGACAGTATGCTTCTCAAAGCGCTTTACAGGATAACAACAATAACAACAACAATTTTACAATTGTTCTGTCCTGAGGCTTTGCAGGAGTATCAGGGTCGGAGCTGATATTGGGTAGCTGCTCCAGCTGTGGTTGACTTGGGCTCAGTTTGCAGTCGAGGAGGTGTGAGCTCAGGATCAGGCTCAGGCTCTGACTCTGACTCCAGGAGCTTCAGGATCGGAGTTGATATCAGCTGTGGTTGGCTTGAGCTCAGTTTGCAGCCAAGGAAGTATAAGAGGTGTAAGTCGGGGGACTTCATGGGACTCATGGAGTATGAGGATCAGAGGTGATATCAGCTGTGGGTGGCTTGAGCTCAGTTTGCAGTCGAGGAGGTGTGAGCTCAGGCTCAGGCTCAGACTCTGACTCATGGAGTATGAGGATCAGAGGTGATATCAGTAGCTGGTCCAGCTGTGGGTCACTTGAGCTCAGTTGACTGTCGAGGGACTATAAGCCCTGACTCACAGCTCCACAGCTCGTATCTTCTACAGAGTGTTTCTGTCCTCCTGATGGCCGCTGTGTTTTAGAACGATGCTTCTCTTTTGTCTTGTTTATACCAGAGGTGGGATGGGTGATGGTATCCGTGCGGAAGCAGTGAGTTATCTACAGGAGGCTTTTTCAAGTAATGCTAAATCAGCAAATTTGCCAAGTTGGGTGTATTTATTTTGAGAAATAGTTGAAGTAAAACGCTCAGAGAAATAACAAACCGGAGCTGGAATACCAAGGCATACGGTTCTAAACAAAAATTTTCTACATCACTGTATTGGGAAATAAGACATCATACAGTAATTTTCATCATGTACAAAACAGGTCTCAGCTGGCCGCCATTTTGCTGGATCTCCTCAGAGGAGCCTCCTTCTGGCCAAGAGCTCAAACTCCTCTGCGCCTCATAGTGAAGCTCCAGGTCACAGGGGGGGTACAGGCTGTGTCCCAGATCTCTCACTAAGCCCTAAGCCCTTCCCCAGGACCACACTTCTGTGACAGAGCAGGTGTGCACTTGAGGTGCACGAGCACGAGAGGTGCACCGTTATAAAAAGGTGATGAGACACTCTCTCGTGACGCCACACGCTGGCTATGGATCAGGGTCAGAACGCTTTCTGTTCTTGCTGCTTTTGCGATGCTTCTTTTCCAGTAGCTCTGTGCATTCCAACCAAGAATGCTGTTAAGATTTTTTGTTCTCCGCTTGTAGTTTGATGAAATCGAATGTCACCTCATCTGCACACATGGTGGGGAGTGAGACATCGTGTTCGTGCATTTTGGTCAGGCCCAACTCAAAACTTGGCAATACCACTGTTTCTTCAAAGCTTTGTGTTAAATACATTTCATCTCCTCTGTCCCTGTACACAAGGAGTGATGACACATGTTCATTCACATCGAGAAGGCTTGACTCGAAATAGCTGTTTACTCAAAGATTGGTACATTTCATCTCGTCTGTCTGATATCGGGACATGGTCACAGGGTCAAACTGACTGTACAGCAGGAGTCCCTGTGCCCTTTGCTGGGCTGTGGAAGCGTTTCCAGAGCGAGCGTGTTGTCGTGGAAATTTACCTATCAAGGAAGCCACAAGAGAGAGCTCTCACCTGAGTAAGGTCTTTATTTCAATATTGCAATATTGGGAGCCCTGTTGCCACTTTGCAAAGTGCAACCAGAGACTCAATTTGTTACAAGCAGTACAGGGTTTTCATAAGACGTTGCGCT